TGGAAATAGAATCTAATGACATTTCCAGCATCTTGAAACCAGAACTGTTCTCACTGCACCCCCTAGGAGCTCTCACACTTAGCACATTACTTTCGTTGAAAAACATAACTTTTGACTATTTCCACAATTCATTTGATGTTTTATTAGACATTAGACAACTGTGAAGAAGGCTCTTTATAGTATCCACAGCACAATGGGAGATTGTTGTCTTTTTAAATAACAAAAAAAGTTAGGCATTATTTTCTTTAAAAAAACACATATTTTATATCATTTAAAAATTATTGCTGGTTTTCTGGTGGTACTTTTAGTCAAGTAGGATTTTACATAAATGTTCATATGTTTTCACAAAGTCCCTCTCCTCTCACAGTTGATGTATGAGCAGTATACTAAGAGGCTGTTTTCACATGCATCAGTTTCACCTTGAACTAACAAGTGTGATGTGTAAAACATCATCTCCATAAATAATACACCAAACCGACACATCACCTTCTTACTATAAATCTAGTGGAGTAAAATGAAAGTCATAAAAAGTGAGGCTGAACTGACATAACCTTGATGGAGTATAATGAATGTGTGTGTGTCATGGGCGTGTTGAACAGCTCTATGTGATGAAGGCAGCGCTCTGTGGGAACAGTTGCTCACTGTCCTCACCTGAACTCCAACAGTGATGCTGCCTTCAGTCCAGATCTCAAGGTCAAATGACCCAAAAAAGTTCTGTATAAAGATTCATCTTTATTGTGATTGTTTCTCCACTAAGTTTTGGATGACATTTGTCCATCTGTCTGCTGAAAATATATTTGTATTTATTCCATGACTAATGTGTGATCCAAGTCGTTTATTGGACAGAGATTTAGTCCAAAAAGAAATGGCATGGAGGACAACTTTTTATTGTGGTGTGTTCAAAAGCGATGCCTCTAAAGCTTTGGTCTGATAACATTAAAGAGCCCCTCAGCATACTGCGATTTGGCACATTTTGTGTGTGTCTGTGTGTGCTGTCATCCTGCTGAGCCATCTGCATAGCAACAGATTACCAGGTAGCCCTGCTAATCCAGGTAGGCTGCTCCGCGTCAGGGAGGACGTGGAGACGTTTGGCGCAGTGGATTAGTGCGTTGGTGTTGGGATCAGGGGAGCACAGGTTCAAACCCCACTGCAGTCAGCATGTCGTTGTGTCCCTGGGCAAGATACTTCATCCCAAATTGCTCCTGTGGGGATTGCCCACAGTATTGAGTATGTAAGTCGTTTTGGATAAAAGAGTCTAACAAGTAACATGTACTGTAACATGTAATGAGGAAATGAAGCCGAGTGGAAAACGGTTAAATCAATAATAACCACATTTCCCCTCAGGCTTAAGGCTTGTGGCTTGACTTTGACACACCGGGCGAGTGCAACAATGCAACAGCAATCTGATCAGGCTGTTAGAGGACTGACTCTGGATTTTGGGATTTTGCGGATGATTGTCAGTTTTTATCAGCTCACAACTTGGCAACGTTGGAGATTAGTCACAAACAGCAAGTCAGCACTTTGCTCCATCCTCAGCAGATTACAGACCAGTTTCTGCAGATTTGTGAAGGAGAATGCTGAGTCATGCTGTTTTAAAAGACAGAAAGTTTATTTTTTCAAGTGTAAAATGGCACCTGAGGTATCACATTAGGAAGCTTAACTATGTTTTGCCCTGCCTAACATTCAGGTCAGAGATGCTCTGACTAAATCCGTTTTAGTGTCTTTCAGAGGTGCGTTCTCTCATTACGCTGCGCCGTGTAAACCAGCTCCATCGCCTGCTTATTAGATTTAGTTGGACAGAGAACATTCGGCTAATTAATGCTGCCCGCAGCCTGTGTGTGAGCGGCTGTGTGTGTGTGTCTGTGTGTGTGTGTCTGTGCTGAACTGAGATCTGTGAACCTCATTAGTGTTTGTGTCCTTGTGTGTACTCCCGGTTTTCTGTCTCTTTGCCAGTGTGTAAATGTAAATGTTATCTCTGTTTGTGTGTGTGTGCGTGTGTTTGTCTTTGACCCTCCGCCGAGGCAGGATACGCAGAGGGACGGGCAGAGATTTGCATCTGCAGCAGCACCGGGATCTGTTTGATCTGTCCACTTATAACACGTCAGGAGGCCTTCCTGCACAGAACCTGGGCACATACAGTATCTCACTTCTCAGGGAGAGAGACTAACACAAAGAGGGAGGGAAGAGAACCGAGGCTGAAGGGACAACATAGCATCGTGAGAGAAAAAGAAGAAGAACACAAATGAGGGTGGATTTAATAAAGTTCAAACAGAAAGGGGGGGGAAAGCTGTATAACTAATAGCAGTGAGTCAAAAGAAGTCAGTTATACTGAGTTATTGAGGGGAACGAGTGGGAAATGGAAAATAAATAGTCGTAACAGATTGATTTTGTGCCTCATCACACACTTACTTGTCTTTTAAGTGTAATGGAAAACATGAAATGGGTGCACTCATACAGCAACAGCACAAGTAGATTTAGTTTTTACGATTTTTCCATATTGATTTAAATCACAAATAATTTGAATTCAGGTTCCATCCAGTTTCTCATACAGAATATCTGCCCATCCCTCACACACATTCAAACACACACACACACACACACACACACACACACACACACACACACACACACACACACACACACACACACACACACACACACACACACACACACAAGCACCCAGCCTCCTCTCATTCTTATATTGCCCAAACAAGTTCAACCATTATGCCTTATAGAACATAATACTTAGCTCCAATGAATTATAAATGCCCATGGTTTCCAAGCGGCTTATTTTTAGAGCATGCACACACACACAAATACACACAGAGATTGCTTTACAAAGCTGGGGTTACGTCCCCTACTGAGGCATACCGAGGTAACACTCAGCACTGTAGTGTGTATGAAGATATTGAGTCCCCATATTTCTAATTTCCCTGTGTGTTCATGATGAGCTGCCATTTAATGCATTCACAGGGGAGACATTCACATTTGATGAATTTATCCTCTGTAGACAACGTTTTCTCCGTGGACCTGCTAGCATCACTACAGGGGAAATGATGTGGTGCAAAAACGGCATAATACGAAATATTATAAGATAAACTTTACTCTCTTGAAATGTGACCAATGAAATGAAAGGAACACATATTTCTTTGTGCTGGAGACAAATTAAACTAATATCCAACTTGGAACATAAGGTTGCCTTTCTCTATAGCAATCACTTGTTTCCATGGAAACAGACTCATTTTAATTATAATTTACAAACAAAATTAATTGTCAGAGTTTTATATATAACAGGATGCTCGTCATTGTCGTAGCTGCTCCTTGTTGCCAAGGAGATTCAACAGTCACTTTCGTTTGAATACATCCTGCAGATGAGGGGGCTGCAACACGTTTTTGATCTACTTAATTGTTGGTTAGGGCTAAAACATGGCATTTGTTCATATTAAACTACCTGAATTTGACTTCCTTTACCTCTGCACTTTCAAAAATGAAACAAATATTCCGAAAGACATGCAAATGAAGAAAAATCTTCACCAAATTCACAGAACATGTGCAGTGTTTACTAAAAGCGCTGCATAAATGAAACGCTGCAAATACAAAACTTTGGAAAATTGGAAGAAATCTTTTTGAAAGTGCAGCACGTTTCTTCCTAATGGAAGTGTTTTGGGCCGTTGAAATGCGTCTTTTCCCTCAAATGAATCCTATAAAGAGTGCCACCTTCACTTTGAGGAGGGGCTTCTTCTGTTCATTATCACTGAAGGCAGGGACGGCGTTATACTGCACCCCCTCTTACTCCCTCTGACTGAAACTAATGGCTCCTTCCACTCAGGGTGACACTGATGTACTATTAGGGCAGGTTACTGCGCAGCCCAGCAGAATCAGGGGTCCCCGATACATAAATCAAACTCCACGCTAGTGAGGCAGTGGGTTTGTAACCCTGCTGCACGATAGGAGCTTGACAATACAATGACCGCAGAATGGTATTCGGCAATTATATTAGTCCGTGTGTGGCAGGCATTCATATTTGTGGGGACTGCAGATGAATGTGTGCCCCCCCGCAGAAAGAAATGCTGTAGGCTGGATGCCTACTGGGGGTGCTATAAATAGTCTCCTGGTGACAGCAGGACTTTGAGCCTAATGTGAGGGAGAGCATCTTCCAGAGATGTCTGTTTATTATTTATAACTTCATATACATTTCTACACCAGTAACCCTGCTCATAGCATCCAATTTTGCCAGGGCTTTAAACTTAATACTAAAGTCAGACAAATATCTTAAGAACCATCTTTTTTGTGTGTTTTTATTCCGAAGACAGTCTTTGGTTCGACTGCTGTGCTGATAAATGAGGAGCATTTAGACATGAGGCATTAACAGGGTCACACTAAATGTACCTCCTGTTGCGAAGCCACAGGCAAATCGTGGTTTAAAATCTGAGAGCAATTACATTTATTCCCCATTTAGCATCCAGAGAATGATAAGAAGGGAGAGACATTTCTGATTGCTGTGTTTTGCATACAAAGACACGTTTTCTGTGCGCCTCTTAGTGATCACTTTCGGTGTCAACCATGGTAAAACAGAATTGAAGTATTTGATAGGCATTAATGTTAACACGAGGTGAATGGATGTTTTCTCTGACTGTACCCGGCAGCAGGGCGCACTCGGGGCATGTCTGGATTTATGAAATCATTCCGCTCCAGAGGCTTCCCTCTCTTCGGACCTCTTGACCTTTTCACCCGCATTTCTCTGGCGGGCCTCTCCGCGCACACAGTGTTATCTGGGAAGAAGATGTTTGAATGTCAGTGTGTTAATGGGAAGCTCCAGGGTCAAACTGTGTTGTAACTGGAAAGCTATTTCATTACTTTGAGTTAGGTTTTAACATCTTGTTCTGCACGGATAATAATGTATTTCTTTTAAGATTGATGGGGTTACAATTTCAGTGATGTATCAATTCATCAAAGCCATTATACATTTGATTTCTAACCTTTAATTTCCTCTTGCTTAGGTTCTAACTTCCTGTGCGCCACACATATCATCCCCGTGAAGAATGAGGAAGGCGTGGTCATGATGTTCATCCTGAACTTCGACTACGTCCTGGAGGAAGGCAGCAGCGACTCTCTGGAGAAACTCAACCACACCACGCCATCCAAAGCTGACCACCGTGAGTAAACAGAGCGTTAACAACATTTATACCCTAATGCTGTAAATCAACCATTGCACATCTCTTGTGATGTATGTGCTGCAGGGGAAGAAATAAGTCGTCACAGATTGGAACATAGAGGAAGGATAGTAATGTAGCTGCCACTCATGACCTTTTTACTTTTAACCTTTTCACACATCCACATACATTTGTGTCTTTTTCTGACATGACCCTTTATATTTATCTCAATGCCCTGACAGACAATGCATCCTATCTTGCCTCCGTAGCATACTGCTAAAACTTGTCTAATTTGTGCATTAGCGTCCAGCAGGAGTTCCCTGCTGGACAGCTCCTTGGGCATGTTGACACCAGCGTTTAGCAGACGCCGATGTGTTAGCCTGCCATCATCTCAAAGGTCCTGCCCAATTATAGCTACAGTGTGCCTGGGTGGCCTGATGAACTAACGGAGCCCCCGTCCCAGAGCTGTCTCCATAATAGCGCTCTCCAACATCTTCTTGATGCCTCCGCTCAGCTCTGTGACTCCACTGTGACATCAGGCGCAGCAGCATGGAGGACCAGAGGTCACCCCTAGATGACTGTAATTGGATAAGGGTCCTAACAGGCTGCGTTGCCTCATGGGGTGTGCGATGTGTGTGTGGAGTATATAAGCAAGTGTTGTCTCCGTGTGCCGGATCAGTGAAACCATGCGTATAAGCTTTTCACTTTGTGTGCGTGTACGTGTCACTGATAAGGCCTTCCTCTTTCACTTTTCTATGGAGGCTAATTGCTCCAAGCACAAGGGCAGTCCCTAATGGAGCACGCCCGTATGAATCAAAGTCTATCCGTCTAAATATATAAGTAGGCGTCCCTGAAAATCTGTTCGTCAGGTCTTGATATGTTTACAAGGTCTAGCCTCAGTGCTGCCTACATGTAACCTCTGCCGTTGCTGTTCCTCATTTCATCACAGCCCTCCCGCACATAACTCCAGAGACCTAGTATTGTATTTTTTACTCGCAGATGGACAGAGGTCACATATTCTGAATAACGGCATAATTTAAGAGAACATCACACACTGCTACGGATGTAAATTCAACTCAATGGAAGCCATGGTGTTACTATTCATCGGGCAGTTGTGTAGCAGCAGCTGCTTCTGAATGGTGTGAGGTGACGATCCATGTGTTGCATTATCTAGACTCCCTCTGGGGGATGAGCAGCCATACATTCGCTGCTGCCTAAGCATTGATCCGTTCATTGTGCCACCATCTTTTCTCACATTATGTGGCTACTTCCACACATCCATTAATAACACACGCATACATCAAGACAAGTGGAATCAATCACTTTGTGACCTCAGCTCTTTTGGTTTAAAATGTTTTTACATAAAAACCTTAAAACACAACCAGAATGACCAAACATTCAGGAGATACCATATTGGAAGACCGCCCCACCAAAAGACACAGATATCTTCTTCAAAAAGAAACAAAGGAGTATTATGTCGAGGTAATGAGGGTAACGTTATAAAGAAGCCCAATTTAGCAAAATGTAGGATCTTTGAAGATTTGAAGGTTTTGGTCAAGGGCTGATGATCAGCTCATTTGCTTTGCTCATCTCATTTGGACTTTTACAGTATGTTCTGCCTGTACTTTGACACAGCCTTTGATTTCTGCAGTGGTCGGTATAGGCCTCCGATATGGGTCAACTTTAAGGTCAGCATAGTAGGACCCCTTTAAATGAGTGTGTGTACACAGACGAATAACCCATGGTACTCTCTGGAGCATGTGAGCAATATGAGTACAAGGAGTCCAGGTAAACAATCCTTAAGGAACACTTCAGTCTGTAAGCACATTAACTGCACTGCTGTGTTTTATTCATCTAACATCCTGACAACAGGAGACGGAGACAAACGGAAAACAAAGCCGTCTTTGTCCCTCTTTTACCAAAGGAGGAAGCTTAATTGTTCTCTTTCTAATTCTCCCTGACATCTGAATCATGCTCACATTACAGAAAGACATTTCACTCCCCAACACAGGGATCTAAGGGCCCAATTAATATTCAATGCAAATATTACTATCTGGTATCATAGCAACAAGGGCCACTGTACGTCCATTGGCTGTGTAAATCCGGCGGTGAGTTTTAGCAGGGAAAGAATGAGAGTGTTGGAGAGGCAGTGAGAGTGAAAACACACATCTACTGTACACACACACACACACCAGTAACAGCACTCAAAGGCAGCTTATTCCTGCAAGGTTCAGCCCTTTTTAAATATTACAATTAAATATAGCTACTCGCACATTTTACAGCACACAGCGTGACAGAATTATGAGCTAATTAAAGGACTTGTGGCGTATGTGTTTATCCTCGAGGCGCAGTAATTACATACAAACCGTTAAGCATGTAAAGGCTCTTCAGCTACCATTTGTTATTCGGGTTAGGTGTCTTAAATCAAGCTGTCGGAAATGTAAAATGCAAGATTAATTGGGAGAACTGTCTTGAAGTGGTGTGAATGCAAGTGAAAAGTGTTTGAGACAGCCTTGCTAAACAGGCTTTTGTTGTATTGTGCAGAGTCTTTTGGAATATTAATGGAGACGCTGGTTTGGGTTTAGCTCCGGGCGGATGAATCAGATGCTAGTTTTGATCAGCAGTCCTATCTGCCTCACAGCACGGGCTCAGATGAAACACAACTTTGTTCACGAGCAACTAATTTCCTCTTCACCAAGATGAATCACTTGTTTAGTTGGATATGAGCGCTAGTGTCAGAACTAGCTCTGATCACCAAATTCATGCAAATGATCATTCCCAGCATCTGGCTAGAGGCTTCATTCAAACACACTACACTGACCCAAGACAACACCAAGGGTTGTGTCTAAAATTACTTTATTTTTCTCTCAGTCTCATTGGAAAGCAGCAGTGAGGAAGATATGCATGCTGTTGCCCCCTCCTGAGCCTCCAAAATTCAATTTGATGCCCATTTTACCACCTATTGTGTCTCTAAATACATCCTTGGCTGGCCCAGTCTCTGCACATATTGCAGTTCAGCGAGGTATGTCAAATAAAATGTGCTGTAGTTTGCTGGAACAAATATATGATATGTATGGCATATGTTCAGGCGACTAAATGATTCACAACATGCAGGCCATGCTTTGCAGTCCATATGTGAAATCCTGAGAGCGCAATTTCCCCATTTTATGACTTTGTATGATTTTAGGTTTCTTGACTTTTTCTTGCATAACAGTCCTTTAGAACTACCTGCTGTCATCCTTAAAATGACTTTTTCCCTCATCTCCCCAGGAGCTATCAATCTCACATTAAAGTCCTGCGTATATTACTTTACAAGACTTCTCAACGATCTACTGACATTATAATAATTCACCAAATGTACTCCTCCATGAATAATTGAAGGCTATTGAAGATTAAACTAGTGCCTGAGGCAGAAGGGGCATTTGTTTTGATCTGCCAGGGTCTTTTTAACATCGCTACATTGGCAGGCTTCTCAGTGCTATTGGCGAGCATGTACAAGCTCTCAGCAAGGATATTACAAGCAAGTTCTGCTACAAACACAAGGTGAAAACACAACACTACGTTGGAATGGGTTATGTGGTTCTCACTGGCTCATTAAAAACCACCAGACATTATCAAAGCAGTCAAATAATGTCATAACAAAGACATTGGCTCTAAAAGAGATTCTATTGGATGTCTGTCTGAGGTCTTTCTTGCAAGTAAACACCCAAAATCATAAGCTCCTATCACCAGTATTTTTTTTTTTTTATTGAGATGTCGAGGAATTATACAATCACACAACCACCTTTAGCTTAGCGATGGAGGTAGTGGTTTGTTTATGGCGATTGCTTACTCTGTGTTATGTTTGACATTCATCTAAATCCCATTCTCACCTTTCAATTTCAGGGAAAGGGAGATTCTTTCGCTTCCGTTTCCCGGGCTTACCTCTCCTTGGCATCAACAAGCAGTCCCTGCCCCAGGAAGACCCCGACGCTGTCATGGTGGACTCCCCTCGCCACAGCGACGGCTCGGTGGCCACGCGCGACTACCAGCTTCCCACCACCCGCGAGAGCTGCAGCCCCTCCTACGCCAACGACACCCGCGCCCTCATCGGTCCCAGCCATTGCTCCACCCCTGTGTCCGGGCCCTTGGACCACTCGTCGCCCAAGGGCCCCTGGGACCGGACGTACCCCGACTGCTCCATAAGGCAGACCCAACACCAGATCAAGGAGGACACGCTTGTCGCTGCTCCTTCAATCCCAGGACTGACTCAAACCGCCTCCAGGGAGAGAGTGTGCAGTATTCGCAGAGCCTCCTCCGTACACGACATGGAAGGATTCGGGTCCAACTCCAAGATGGCGTTCAGGGACAGACACGCCAGTGAAGGTAGGAATCTTCTGCTCTAATATGCCCTGAATGTACGCTTAACATTTGAATTTCAAACAACTATTGCCCCATTTGTTTAATGTCGTTATTATGTGTGTATAGAAGGTAGTTTGACACTAAAAGGATGTTGTAACATTCACCTGCCTAACATTTTCTCTCATCAAAATGCTCACTTTACTATGTGATATGGAAACTTGATACCTAGTGCACACTGAGAATGTGGTTTGTCAAGTGGTTTAACTTAAAAAATGTGACGGACAAAGATGATCTTTTGAAGAAATCGTTTTTTTAAAGTTAACATTTGGCCCTATTGTTGTATTCACATTAAACATTTACCAAAATGTTGCAATACAATTACATTACCAAACTCCCTATGGTCCCAAAATAGGATATTAAAGATGTGGCGTACCAGTCTCTTAATCAGTATTATAGTGAGTCACGATCCACACTGTGAGCCATTGATCTACCCCCAGCCTGAATCACTCCTTTGGACGAGGGTAAAAGGGGCACCAGACTGGCCAATCAGTCTACCCCCCCTCCCCTTATCTGCAATCCTCATTCAAATAGCTCCAAGAGGCTGACACAGTAATATGTCTACTTCACGAGTCATGAATTGTTCAAGGGGACAGTAGCGGGGGTTCGATGCCAGCTTCCATTTGTCATCGTAGAAGCACCAGAAGTTCCTCTCACACCTCCCCCCTTTTCTTTCTTCTCCAACACAGACAATGGTCGCAATATGAAAGGTAAACAGTTGAGCACGTCTATAAGATAACTTCACTAAACCCGCTTGTTGCATGAGTTTTCCCACACGATCTAGTTCAGATGGATGACTTTGTAAGAGTCTTAAAAGTCTGGCAGCGCACTAAGTGACTCAGTCTCAGTGCAAACGACCCGCTGATCCCAAGCCAGTTGCCCGGAGGAAGTTTTCTCAGTTCGAAAAACCACCGACCTCTGCACGCGCTTGCATGAAGCAAACACATTTACATCTCTCTCCTGCTTCCGTTCATTGAAGAAAATCAATGAGCCTTTACGAGTCGATGCCTCCCACTGTCTGTAACCTTTGTTTCCTTCTGTGCAACCTCTGGATTCCTGCTGCCATGTCTTAGTGAATGAAAACCTGACCGTGTTTCCATTAGGATTCTATATTCTCACCCTTTTAATCCTTTAGATTGCAAATGACCTGTAGCAGTGCTGATGCTGCATGCATTTCCCAACATTATCCCACATAATGCATTCATGTTTGATGAAATGAGTTCCCTAATCAATGTGTTTTTTTAATATTAATTCAGTGGTGGAACTTTGAGTAAAGTTCATTTACTCAAGTACAATTTTTGTAGTACTCTTACTGCTTGATTTGTATTGCACAGGGCTGCCATAGTGTTCCATATCCTGTACTATATTGTGATATTTTAAGTGATGTTTGTACCCATGACTACTGCAATCTCCCCTCCCCTCCGTATTCCCGCTGTCCCCTTTACCCCCTATTTCTTCTCTCTCCTGGTTTGCTAGTGTCTCGCTCCTGGATGGCTGGGGGTATGGCTTCAGCTTTTCCTCTTGAAGTTATTTGTCATGACTGCAATGACATTTCCTTACCGTGGCATGTATTGAAGCTGTGCATGCAATCTCTCATCCTCAGCTGTCAGTTTCTCTGTCCTCCACTCTCAATCAATGTACTGTACTGTGTGAAAAGGAAACAAACTAAAACCTTCCTCTGCTGGCTCACACGACTGAGTCAGCTATTCTCTCTTTTTCACTTTTGATCACGTCAGTGCTGTCACGTGATTTCACAAGAAAGTTGTTTCTAATATGCTGTGAGAACATTTGATTCCAACGCACCTCATTAGACAGATTGATGGTTTGACTAACTGTGTGGAGTCTTTCATGCTTTTCTTTCACCAACAGTGTTCTTCATTATCTTTTAATGAGAAACTTTGAAAGGCCTGTTCACCCTAGACAGGTCAATCTGAGGGTTTATATTTCAGTATCTGTGGTTTTCTCCGTGTTGTGTTGTGGTTGAACTCACTCCAAACGTAAGGGCCTGCCCATGCTCACTCTCCATGTCACAACAATCACTCGAGAACTAGATGTCCTCGATTCAGAACGCCTACAATAGCACAACTGTAGTAAAAGACGGAGCAGCTTTTAATGCCGCGTCCTCCCTGTGTGGCTTTCTCTTCCAGGGCCGCTGAGCCAGATCAAATCCAGCCTGCTGGGCTCCACCTCCGACTCCAACCTCAACAGGTACAGCACCATCAACAAGATCCCCCTCATCACGCTCAACTTCTCCGAGGCCAACAACGAGAAGAAGTGCCCCTCCCCTCCGTCCTCGGAGAATACCATCATCGCCCCGAAGGTCAAAGACCGCACACACAATGTCACCGACAAGGTCACGCAGGTAAGACGCTCACCAAGCGAGGTTTCCACACAAATATGTGGAACGTTTCGGAAATTGAGACTGAGAAACACAATGCTTTCTTGGTGTTTTTTTTACGTTGAAATCCCCTTTGACATGAGGTGCGTTCAAGTGCCATGTGACAATTAGCCTGGGTGCAGTATCACAGCTAATTAAAGGGATTTGGAAATTCTCTCAATAATCAAGAGGAATTGTTTTGATTATGAAGCACCGGCACAGCACAGATTTATGACAACATAGTCAAAGTCGTGTGGTCTAAAAAGTGGAAGGGACTCGTAATTCATTGTTATAGCGATATATATTGTATTTAAATAGTTTTAAATGCACTGTGTGGAACATTTTAGCACAATCTTCCTCACGGTTATTTTTATTGATGTTGTATAAGATCCATTATCAAACCATCTGGGAGTAATTCTCTGTTTGGAAAACAATCAAGAAGCGTTTATTCATAATTCATACCTCTGATGCTCCGTTGACTGTGCATACTGCAGGGGAGAGACATTGGAATTCAATAATAACGCTCATCATAATATCGTTTACTACATCACAAATCACTCGCACAGATTGAGCGGACGATGAAGTCGGCGGATTGCTTCCACACCCCTCCTCCCGTCCCCCTCTCCCCCCATGATTCATTGGAACTCGAGGGGTGTGATACATAAAACGGCAGAGATGTCTATCACTGGAGGCAGATCATGGGGATCCTCTTACAGCTGCCAGACAGCGTCCATAGCTCCATCTCTCTCTGTATCTCTAGAGTTACACAGAGGCTTAGAGGTCTTTCTCACCTTCCCGCCTCGGCTGAGGGACTGTACAGTAAGTGAAGTTTTCTCAGGGGTAGAACGAGGCTGCCCCAAACCACTGATCACGTCTCATTTCTACATTTCGCCCATTAGTGGTGTAATGGATAGAGGGCGCAGAAAGTGACCCCTGCAGCTTAGAGACTCAGCAGACCCCAGTGCAGCTCACTGACCTCTCCATCCAGCATTAAAGTTAAAGTTATTAAGAAGAGGAGAGGAGAGGCCTATTAACGTGCTTCTTGTGGCACACCAGAGGACCTGAAAACAAGTTGCTGTGTCATTTCTACTTTGTTGAAGTGTGCCAAATGTTTTCTAGCCACGGTAGCTAGTATACACATCTATATCTACGTTACATTGTTCTGTTCACTTACACAATACACTTAAGTAAAAAACATCTTATTTCCTCTTGCATTTATATGCATTGTATTTATTATTGAGGTACCACTATCTGGCCCCTCTTGCTCCGTTGGTGTCCGGGCATATGGTGTGCCACCTCTTTGTCTCATTATGATAGTAATTATCAAACTAACAAAAAGATGAATCCACGGGTTTTATCTGTAGACAGTTCTCTCGACAACTGACTGTGAGCCGCACAAAGCCACAGCAGATGTCCTGACTCTGGACTCCTCTGAGTTCATCTGAAGCCACCATCGGGGCGTGAGCAGACTCGCTCTCCGCTGGCCTTGGCTGCCTCACAGCGCCCACAGGCAGATGGAGGCTGCACCCAGGGAGCCAGGCGACTGATAAAGAAAGAGACTAGCAGCTCTCGTGCTGTTTGGTACAAATTGAACGTCGCAGTGCATGCAGCTCATGCACACATGAGCCTTAAATACCTATTCATGTCTCGTTTTGAACACCACTGAGTTATCTGGAGCTCATTTGTAATGATTGGAGCCACGTGATTAACCGCAGAAACATGAAACAACACTCCACTCTTATAAATGATAGCCCAGCCCAGACCCAAAAGAAGCGGAGAACGCTGATGCTCATTTGCATATCGTTTGAAGCCAAGCCAAACGCACAACGAGCCTTCCATTATCCCACAAGAGAGAGTTCATTTGCGCCAAGTGCACATAGCTACAGTAGGTGTGTTTAAATAATTAAGATAGGATCTTTTATTTAGAAACAGACTGGCTACAACACGTTAATCCAGAGCTGTCACTCAGCCAACCAACAGTCTCCTCCCAGCATGCCGAGGGGTAATGTGCCCGTGGGGGTGTAGTGCAGAGTTTCCATGCATCATCATTATTAATCATAAACTGCATGAAAACAGAACAGTGCTGTGCCAGGACAGTCAAGGCTAGCTTTTTTCTATATTTATAATAATTATTATAAATAATTTAGGTTAATTTGTATATTTTCATTCACAGGATGCAGCTACATTGTGTAAAAAGAATGCACACAATACAAAACAAACAGAAAAGTAGGTTAATCTTTTAAAAGTGACTTTGTTATGGCAAGTTTCAAAATGTACCTATTTAAGAAAACAGAAATCTAAGCAGCGGCATTTGAAAGTGAACAGCAATTACACATTGGGTTGTGAGAGCGTGATGAAAGACGCATCGGGAACACTGGCTTTTAATGAAGTGGCAGCGCGATGAATAATGAATCCCCTTCCCTTTGTTTGTCCTTTGGTTTCTGATCGATTTGAAAGGTTATCCCGTATCAGAGGGTCGAAGCATTTGACCCTGACCCCTTTGAGGGCAGGAGTTTCTAATAACCAACTCAATTATTAACACGTCAGCCTTTTCTCAGGCATTACATCATCCTTCCTCTCAGTCACGGGGGGTTTTAAAGGTGACCAGAGGTAGAGATAAGGGGACATGGAGTCTCTCGCTCAATGCTACATTCTATCTCTCTTTGCATTCCTCCTTATAGCTTCAATAATCAGCAGTGAAGGAGCCATGCCCTGAAAATTCCTGGCTATTGAAGTGTCCCACACTTAGATGCATAGATGTTCAGCTCCTGCCTATAATTACTTCCAAGTCATCGAGAGTCTTATCACAAATGGGCCATAATGCGGCTGTAGTATTGATGTTAAAAGCTATTCAGTGATGTATGGTATCTGCAATAACAGAGGTAATGATGGTGACATCCAGGCTAGCTGGAGGGAGTAGATAAAAGCTCCACTGTAAGGATATCATGCATGCTGTTGGTTTCTTCATAATGATCTTTTTATTTTAATGTATCTTTTAGGTGTTTTAATATCGGTTGAATTGCTAATATATGTTTTTCTTTTGTGTCTTTTCTTTTAGTATAGGCAAGTGAAACACATGATTAGATAGACAATACCAGCTGACATTTTTGATTCACATTTCATTCTTTCAGTAATTGTGTAGAAAACATGGGTGATGTGTCATATAAAAGAATGTTTTTTAAGCGTACTTAAAATGTCAACTTATAAGAATAAGTGCTTTTTTATCAGCCTTCACTCGACACATGAATGATTCATTTAGGGAAATTCATGCCTCAAGCAATCTGCTTATGCAATATTTTCTTTTAATTAGATCATGTTAAAGTGCATTAGGATTGTACCGTATGTACAGCCACGCTGCTGAAGTTCAACTCCAACAAACATGACCTTTACTTGACCTAATCTTCAGTCATATGTCATAATGCAATTCCACCAACCAGCAACATCGATGTAAAGGCACGGAAATGCTAATGCGCTTATCTGAACTGTATTTACTGCTGCTCTTCATTCTCATACCAGAAATACTGTTCATACTCACGTCATTATACCGTGTCATAAGGTGTATTACTTTTTCACCCCTCCCCCTCAGGTTCTGTCTCTGGGCGCAGACGTGCTGCCGGAGTATAAGCTCCAGACCCCCCGAATGGACCACTGGACCATCCTGCACTACAGCCCCTTCAAAGCGGTGTGGGACTGGCTCATCCTGCTGCTGGTCATCTACACGGCCATCTTCACGCCATACTCCGCAGCCTTCCTCCTCAACGACATCGAGGAGCAGAGGAGGCGTGAGTGCGGCTACTCCTGCTCCCCCCTCAACGTGGTGGATCTGATCGTGGACATCATGTTCATCGTGGACATCCTCATAAACTTCAGGACCACGTACGTCAACGCCAACGAGGAAGTGGTCAGCCACCCGGCCAAGATCGCCATCCACTACTTCAAAGGATGGTTCCTCATAGACATGGTGGCCGCCATCCCCTTCGACCTGCTGATCTTCGGCTCTGGATCGGACGAGGTAAGCGGGGCGGAAATTATATTTATATAAATATATATACTGTATATATATCATAAATACTTATTGCATTGTTGGAGGAGCCTGGGACTTCCGATTTTCAATGCCAAAACTACACTGTAGCTTTTGTGCATATGACAATAAGGCCTTGAAATAGAATGTTTATGGCACAGAAGTGTATGTGAGATGCTCACGTGAACAACATGGACACAGAAGCTGGATTTTGCCAACAAACAACAATATGGAATTCCTTCTCCTTCATGCATGTGATACTACTTTTTATGGCACACACTTTTTCACCTTCCAAAGCTGAGTCCCTCCTTGGTGTACTCCACTGTCATGGCTGCAGGCCGGAGCTTCAGCAGTCATGCTTCTGAGCTGTTTTGACTACTAAAGCAATTTGACGCTGGGCTGTCACATCTGCTTTCCTCAGCCCTCTTTTCATCAGAGCCAGACTGAGAGGCCCCGGGCCATCCTAATCAGTTAAGAAGGTCCCAGCCTCCCTAACTACTGGCTGTGAGAAACTATAGTGGCTCGTGTGTGTCTGAGGGAGATAGCTCAGCAAGTTGTCTAATGCTCAGTTACAGAGAGCAGCTTACAGAGTGAGAGCTCGCTTTGTATCTAGAACCTCTTGAGTAATAATAAGTTAAGTGAAGTGTCTGACATCTAGTTTTGCATAATGGAAGAAAAGCAAGCTACTAAAATGTGTGATGTAACACCTCCCAGTGAAAACACCACAGCCTGATGTGTGTGTGTTGTCAGTTTGCCGAGTCATTATTTACCATTAGGTGTGTGTTCCTGCGAGGGGGTCCATGGCTACAGGCTGGCAGTGATTGGCAGGTGGAGGGAAAAGAGCAGACAGCTGAGCGGCGGCGCGGCGCGATGTATGTCCCCGTCACACGGCGAGATGACTGATGCGGGGACAGAATGTGTGTTCCCGCTACAGCTCGTGTCAAAAGAACACAGTGAGCGCGGTGACAAAACGTGGTATTATTAGCGCCTCCAATCATGAGCAGAAACTGAAAATAACACATCCTTGTACATTTTTTGATCCTGTCTTTTAGGCGCTTTATTTTAGTTCTGTGTGCAATGACTATTTTTAGACTTTAAACTCGTGCACCTTTGTTGCCTGGAAACCATCTCTGACAATATGCTAAGATTTCTTCTGCTTTGGCAGGGTGAGATTCTTGCAGGATTTCAGCGCTGCAGCTGGCAAATGGATAGAAATAGTCCGGTGCTGATTTCTACCTACAGGAGTCATTTGAGCGCCTCCATCATTTGCATATCAATGTCCTGTGGGGTAGGATGAGATGATTTGCCTATTATGTCGACGCTCACATGCACCTTGTTTCCAAATGTGATATATTTGCAAATTGGAAGGTTAAGTTTGAAAAGGTGCTCCAAACCAGAATTGTATCTGGCAGGGTAGAGTCTTTGCACATTAACAACTGAACTAAGCCGAGACACTTTCACCAAATTGTCTTAGGGGAAGTTTAGGAGATTCTTTTGGAATTAAGGGGGCAAAACCACTCACAAGAACAATCTCAGTCACACATTTACATAAACACTGTCAGGCTTTTATTTGTTGTCAATGAAGCAGCTCCAGAAATATTATTATTGATTATATCTTGCCCAAAAGCTATTTATGCTTAAACATTTAAATTGAGCTTTTAGTGAACCACAAACAACATTTTCCCTATGGCACATTCTTCCGTTTATATTCCCATGCATATTAAGCATGCTATATTTGCTTAATTTCCCCATGTCTCATTCAGTCTTTGATTTGAGAGTTAATTAGATGTGCATTTTGCCTTTGGTTAAAGCAACAGTACAGAACTGCAACTCTATTCTTCTGCAAAACCTGCAGAAACATTTGTGCTAAAGAAAGAAGAGAGAGGAGGCAGCTTCATTGTAGCCCCCTCAATCTCACTCTTTCTCTGCTGGAGTTCAGTCAGAATAGACTCAAATCAATTCTCGTACAACTATTTACTCATGCAATAATATGATTGTTTAGTTTGTTTTCTTATTAGATTATCTGAATAAGCAAAACATGTGGGTTTCTTCTGTCTCCTGTGCAGCATACAGCCTTGGTTTTATGGCTTTGTTCAGCATTGTTTTCTGCTGCAGCAGGGAGCTCTGAATCACTGTGTTTCATTTACCCACCACCAAATGACAGACTCACACAATTAAAGACAACAACGGAGCAGCTAAAAGGCAGACGCTTTTCTCAGGAGTTGGTGGAAACCGAAAACAGAGTTGAAAGACACTTATTTATTGGACTTACATTAATCACATAGACATAACAAAGACCTCTAATAAATGCTTTGGTCATTAGGTCAATATGGCAATTGCGATATGATTTGCGATATAAGAGGATTAAACATTTACAAAACTTTATTCACACTGTTATTGAACATATATTAAAATTATCATGGTGTGATTTTTAAGGAGGATTTTTAACCACCTTTTGTTATGTCTGTTGGACACCATTTGAAGACCAGGACTAATGTGCAGCACCGCAATACTTCATACAGTTAATATTACATAATTTTCCTTTACCAAATATTGCACCACTTTCGATTTGGACATTGCATTAACTACTGCAGGATTAATTGTGCAGCCCTTATGGGAAAACAACTTATTGTGTCTGCATACAGAGTGAAAGGCTGAATCATAACTTTGGCTGTTTGTTTTAAAGTGGCCAGGCGAGTGTGTGAAGCCGCAGTGGCAGATGGCCAGAGTGATATTGGGAGGATGTGTTTGATACAGCTGCTCGCTAATGGGAGCTTTAGCTCAGCTCCTCATCCCCAAACGCCTCTGATTTACTGTAAACTCAGATTTTAATCAACATTAGTCTGTGTGGGCCACATCATACGCTGCGTGCAGGTCGCCCAGACAGGCAGCAGCACTACACCTAAGGCACTGCCCGCTCACTGATGATGGATAATTTAGGACTCATCTGCTCCTATGTATGATTCATGCACTGCTCTCTCAGTTGGCCGGATGCTCTGCAGCAGTGAGTGATGGTGGTGATTTAGGGGTGAGATTGGGAGGACGGAGGCTCATTAATGGACCCATCAGAAGCAGATACAGCACACTCCCTCACCATGATGGAGACACACTTTACCTCATGAATCAAACTGCACTGGCCGCCGTCCTGGTTTTAATAAGTATACATTAATATACTTTGAATAAGCCAGTACTCTCCATTCACTCTCACCTGTATATGAGAAAAACATCAGGACGTTTAGATCAGTGTTTTTGTTGATCGAAAAATCTGTTGAATTCAGACACATTTAAATCTCTCCAGTCAAAATGTCGGGTGAAAATAATTCCCCCATTGTTGTGAGGACAGTGCTCAGCGGTTATGGAGGCTTGAATTTCTTTGCATCAATTCCTAATGAGTGATTTTAGCGAAATCTATCCCTAGCGGGTCAAAGGGGCCAAGGTAGCCTGTGCTCAGCCCAGAATTAAAGGAGCGCTTGATTTCAAGCCCGCGGCATTACAAACTTAATTAAAATGTTAAGAGCCAGACAGGTATGGAACTAAATCTGTGCAAAAAGTTTAGATCATTTGAAAAAAATGTATTGAATCAGAAAGTTCTTGATCCTGAACTTTGAAAAATGCCGCGTTGACCGGAAATAACTTTTTTTGGAATGGTGATATAGACGTGACATAGTACAGCTACTGCAGGAAACAGCGGGTAATGATTGTCCCCGAGGATATTAGGATAATTGTCAGCCGCGACAGGGAGTGTAGGACCTATTAGCATCCCCACTTATTGTGTTTACAGATTGGACCACACTAATGGATCAGGACTTGTGTCATGCCTGAATGCCCCCCCACCCCCCCCCTCTCAAAAACTCCCCTCCCAAAGTCTGTGCAGGCATTTAGTCAGGCTAAAAATTTGAGACGGGAGGATTAAAGTGCTTTAAATTAAACGCATCAGAAGGCATTGTGTGTAGACGTTTTAATGTATGCAAATCTGTTTTTGTATGAGTGAATACAATACAATACTTTCATTCTATTCCTACTATTTCTACTAGTTCCATCTGCTGACATTAATGTTTTGATGCCTAATTTGGCTTCATCATCAGCCAAATAAGTGTGTTTTTGCAGACATGTCCTATTCAGGGAAGTTGTGTTGACACTGAGGAACGCTGAGACCTTGAAGAGGTGTCCACAGCAGCAGGAATGATCCACTGTCTAGTCTTGGTGGTGTGTGAATGACATTAAGCATTCCTAAACTACACATGTTTCTGAATCTCTAAGCTGAGCCGACCCTGACCCCAACTCTTGACACCGAGAGGAGACGAACAACGTGTTCACTTTGATAGCTGGGAAAGGGTGGTATCAGTTTGAAGTGACATCACTTACTGTCGCACACATGTTGATAACGCACCACAACTCCCTGGTCTCGTTTCAAAAGTTGGAATTTGCCTTAATAGGACAACAAAACTGTCACATTAACACATGTTGACTGGATATAACTTGTGATTGAGTTCAGATATACTGTAAGTGGAATGAAATACAGTCTATACTATAGTTATAATAAATGAATACCTGAATATGTAGACTGTAAACAGATGTATGAGTCCTACACATAAGTCGGCGAGGAAAAGCCCACAATCCAAAAACTCTGTGTGTAGGTATGGTGGGCAAGAGGGCCAAAAAGCCTGAGGGACAACACACATATTAGCACATTTACACATTGACTCATGACATTTAAATCCTGAACTTCTATGTTTCCCACCCGCAGACCACCACTCTGATCGGCCTGCTGAAGACGGCCCGCCTCCTGCGGCTGGTGCGAGTGGCGCGTAAGCTGGACCGGTACTCAGAGTACGGAGCTGCCGTGCTCATGCTGCTCATGTGCATCTTTGCCCTCATCGCCCATTGGCTGGCCTGCATCTGGTACGCCATTGGAAACGTGGAGAAGCCTTACCTGGAGCACAAGATTGGCTGGCTGGACAACCTAGGGGTGTCCATAGGTGAACTTCCTTGTTTTGTTTGAATTTGAAACTAAGTGGGTTAGTAAAGAGGCTCATTTCCACCTGTAAAAGAAAATAATATGATGAAAAAGTGGCTTTGTGATGAAAAAGAAAGATCCTGTTACTCATTATAATGAGAAAGAAGAAAGGTTATTATTTTCAGATATTCATTTATACTTTGCTGTCAAACACAAATGTGGACAAATGTGTATGTACTGTTTAATTTTCCATATTGTAGGGAAGAAATACAACTACAGTGACCCCAGCTCAGGCCCCTCCATCAAAGATAAGTACGTCACCGCTCTCTACTTCACCTTCAGCAGTCTGACAAGCGTGGGCTTTGGGAACGTCTCCCCCAACACCAACTCTGAGAAGATCTTCTCCATCTGCGTCATGCTCATCGGATGTGAGTGACAGCTGAGTCCCAGTACATGTAGTATTTTAATCCTGTTAGAACAGAACCCCCCTGGAATTAGGGTTTTATTGAGGAAGCCTCAAACTGTAATTTTTGTAGCTAAATACGCAAAAATTAAACATGTTCATTTTGAAAATAGGGTTTAGGGCTAGGCTTAAGGTGTGTTTTAAATGTACTACCATCACCCCTGGTAATATGTATTGCATTCCCAGTGCGTGAAAATGTTTACATAACACCAGGTAGGTCTTTCCTTGAGATAATGTTACACACAGGAAGTCATGTGGCAGCAGGAACATGGTTTGTGCGGTATTAAGAGAGGAAGTAGGGGGAACTGTATGTGCATCTTTAGCCACCAGCTCAACTGTCACCTGTATGGCTTCTCTCCCAGCTCTAATGTACGCCAGCATCTTTGGGAACGTGTCCGCCATCATCCAGAGGTTGTACTCAGGTACGGCCAGGTATCACCTGCAGATGCTACGTGTCAAAGAATTCATCCGCTTCCACCAGATCCCAAACCCCCTGAGGCAGAGGCTGGAGGAGTACTTCCAACACGCCTGGACATACACCAACGGCATCGACATGAACATGGTATGAGAGGACTGTGTTTGCCTTTTACTTAGCATTTTCACAATGGTAACAAATTATAATGTGTTGTTCCTTTCTTCTGCTGCTTTCCAATATCATGAGTGTTCAATATCTTGTCGGAAAATGCTTTTAGCCCATCGTGAAGCAATCCCGCTATGTCACTGACATAGTGAGATGATTCATCATGATTATACTGTTCAGCCTTAGCCTCAGTTACTGCTACAGTGACTTTGCTCATCATGATACTGTTCAAGGTACTTATATAAGTTTGTCTTTTCCATGTCTGCCTCATGTCTAATGGAATGACCCCACCACTCTGGTAAGAGCAGGAGGTACATGTGTTAACACAACTAATGTTGAAATGAGTGTTCCTCTAGCTCATCTAGCTGTGTTTGATACTAGTATTCAAATGTTACATTTTTTGAAAAGAAACATAGCATTACAGTGTTAATATTAGTATTTATTGTCCCAACACGCATGTAATTGTTCCCTCAGTGTGTTATCTGTACATACATTAACACATACTGTAAACAGTAGCTGTGAGCCTGCATCATAGATTGACAGTATCAACGTTTGCATGCTGCAGACAACACACTAAAGTTTCACACAGGCCACATTATTGTCGGTAGACATGCACGTGGCTTGCCTCGAGGTCCCCTTTGCATGTATTCAAACACAACCCCATGATATTCATCTGGTACCAGAGACAGAGTGAATCACGCCTGTGAGAGTGGGCACAGCCTCGCCGGGCGCTGCCAGCCTTCCCTCCCACTGTGGGAGGCTTGGCGGCACGCTCCGCGGTGGCACCTGCGCTTGCCAAATGTTGTTCAGTCTTTCCTTTCCAAATCTACCGTAATTTTGTTTTTGAAATACAGTAAAAGCCTGTCCGAGCCAGAGAAACAGTTGAGGCGACATTTGTTTTTCTGTTCTCTTGTCACGAGCACATTGTATTTCATGTGTAAATGAAAAAGATAATGTGTTTTGTGTTTTGGATATCCCTTATGTGTCCTCGAAGCCCCTCTCCTCACCTATCAGTGTCTGTTATGGTGTTAAAGTTTGTAAAGAAAGTGTCCTTTTCAGTCAGTTCTCGTTGTCCGGGGATCATTAGCTGTTTTGTCAGTGGTCACTGTATCCTTGTCTTAAAGGGGTAAGTGTATTATAAGTCTATTTTTATATCCTCACAAAAAAATAAATGTATAGAAATAGATTCATTTTATATAGAAGAGGATTAGAGCCACATGTGAATTGTTTTTTAAATCTTATTAACATTTAAAGAAATGTTGAGTTTCAAGATTAACGTCAGAATTAATCTAATTAAATAACACCTGGCAATAATCCTTCCAAAATATCTTGAGGTACTCCTTGGCTAACTTGGAAAATGTATTATTTCTGTTTGTTAACCAATACCGGATCATGGGTCAGAGTATTGAGGGTTTTTTTTCAATATTCATTATTTGAGACAAGATTGAACAGTGTTGCCTTTTGGTCTTACACATACCACACTGTGTTGAAAGACGATTTCCCCTGCAGTGTATGTTAGGTTTTGAGAAGAAGGAAAGAACACAAGTGGCAATTGTATCACATTTCTCTGGAAAGATTTGACCTGCAACTTCACCCCAAAACCACAATTCAACACACATTATAAATCCCTGCGCACCAAAGCTTTTAAAAGACGTTTTCTTAAGAATAATATCTTCTTCCACATGACATAACCGTGTCCGCTTCGACCCGTGTTTCACCCACAGGTCCTGAAGGGTTTCCCAGAGTGCCTGCAGGCCGATATCTGCCTCCACCTCAACAAGAACCTCCTGGAGGGCTGTAAGGCGTTCCACGGAGCCACAAAGGGCTGCCTCCGGGCCCTGGCCATGAGGTTCAAGACCACCCATGCCCCCCCTGGAGACACGCTCGTCCACAGTGGAGATGTGCTTACTGCGCTTTACTTTGTGTCCCGCGGCTCCATCGAAATCCTCAAAGATGACGTCGTGGTGGCCATCCTAGGTGGGTCTACTGTACACTTTCACTATGACTCAGTAGTTAGTATATTTTCTTCTGTCTCATTAATACGTGTGTCCATGCCTTTTGGCCCTGGCATTATATCTACCATACATCTGTGAATTCAGCTACTGTAAGCTAGGTATTCTTGGTACGCACAGATATTTCAAAAAGCATCCAGCAGTTTGTCAGTCTGCAGGATGGAAGGAATACCAATGCTGAGTAATGAATACACTAAGTGACATTCATTCAGCAATCCTATACACAGACACACTTCTAATTAGCCCAGCCAATGCTGTTGTTGAGCCAGTACGTTACTCAGAAGCCCTTCCACTAACAACACAGAAGTTCTTTCATGAGCCTTGCTAGCTTTGCCTGAACTCACCTCCATTAGAGCAGACCGAGATGTGCCAACAAAATGAAGATGGCTTCGTTGTGCTGTGATAGTTGGAAGCTGTGATCCCTAGTGGGTATGTTGTAATAAGTCACTTCAAAGAACACTGTGATTGCTTGCCGCCTCACAGTCGTGCCTCAGATGAAGGGAGAGGACAGGGAAGAGTGGGGGAGGACACAAGGTGGGACGAGGGGAACAGAGGATCTGTGTGGAGGAAAAAAGAGAGAGCATGATTGCTTTCAAATAGAGATGGATGGTGATGGAAGCAGGGATGGATGGAGAGCTGTGGGCGGAGAGAAGAAAATACAAGAAAAGAGAGGGAAAGAAGAGGAAGAGAGGTAAAGTGGAGTGACAGAGGGAGAGAGGAAGTAAGTGAGGGTGTCACATGGTTGTCACTGTGGTGGCATGCAGTGGTTGAGAACAGGTGCCAATGAATATCGACATCAAAATGTGTGAAAATCAAAACGCATCCAGCTTTCCGCAGCCTGCAGGAAATTCTTTCCAAGCCTTTCATTCATTAGTTTCCTTTTAATGACTTGTCATGCAGCCAATAAGGTTTGGCGAAAAGCCGTGACATAATAGGGTCATGATGATCGAGTAGCATGGATGTGGAAGTTGTAGGTCACACCTTACTCTGCACATTTTCTGTAGTACAACAATGGAACTGCTCATTATTCAATTTTCACAATACTCCAGTTGTAGTAAGTATTCCATGTGACAATGCTTTGAGCATGATAATCGTGACCCTCTGCCAACTATCTAAATACATAGCAGTGTGTGAAGATTTCCTAATTTATAAGACCTGATCAAATATGTATTTATATGCAGAGCCGTTCTTTATGAAACGCCAAAGTGGTCAGTATTAAAGAGTAGAAAATACTTTGTTAGATAGATGATCCCCGACCTGACAGATACTGCACTCCAGCACGCACTGTAAACCCCATGACCATTTCATGTAGGTCATTACACACTAAACAGAGGCAGGAATGTTTGGCCTGTGTGACTTCCAAGTGGACACATTGTGTAAATCCTTTTTTAGATGACTGTGAAACCCTTTCGCCTCTTTAACATACTCACGCTCCTCTGCCAGGTGCCGCGTCTCCTTATAGGTCATCAAATACTGTCCTACATACTGTCCAACTACATCATCTCCTAGCACCTATAGGTGTTGTTACTTAAGAAGCCAAGAATAGACGGAGAAGAGAGAAGAGCTTAGGGCAGGATTGATTCCAGCTTATTTTCTGCAAGTTTCCAAAATCCATTTGACAAAAAACATTGCTTTTTGTCACTAGAAGGCTAGCAACTTTTGGGTCGGCCGACAAAATTACATCATCACTGCAACACTATATGATTATCTATGAGTAGTCAGTAACCTTTTTTTTTTATTGCTAACCCCCCCCCCCAGGTAAGAACGACATTTTTGGCGAGATGATCCATCTGTTCTCCAAGTCGGGGAAATCCTGTGCAGACGTGCGGGCGCTGAGCTACTGCGACCTCCACACCATCCAGAGGGAGGAGATCCTGGAGGTGCTCGACATGTATCCAGAGTTCGCAGACCAATTCCTCAAAAACCTGGAGCTGACCTTTGACCTCCGTGATGAAAAGGTTATAGCATGGCGGTCAATTCTTGTCTCTGATTATAACACTCAAGGAGGCAGTGAAGTGGATTGGAGGCTTTTATGTAAAATCAATCTTTGCAATTGACTGTACAATCCTAGTAGAGAAGATTTACTTGAATTGAACAATAATTTCCATGTACCATATCCCTGTCATGTCCATTTCAATTGGATGAAAGGCTTTGTTAATAATTCTCTTTAGGGCTCATGGTCGTGGGAAGGAAAGTACAAGAGCCAATTTAGACATGTTCTTCTCTGCTAGAAAAGAGAGATAGAGAGTATCAGGGTGGGGTGGACATGATGTAGAGTAGACTGTAATTATGATGAAATGGGTGAAGTGGAAGGATGTGTTAGGCCTGAGGCATGAACATGAACACACATTTGTCAGATGTTTTAATTATCTTAAAACGGAGCGAGGAGTTCACTTTGTGTAAAGTAGACAGGCAGGCATAAGAGAAGGTTCTGGTAGGATTCATTAAAAACAGGATGGTGCTCCAACAAACGTGGAAGCAGTTTGTGTTCCTTACTAACAAATATGAAATGAAGAAAGTTTGGCACATTTAAGTCTGTTAGGTTGTTATTGTAGAAGTAGGAGTAGAGGTGACTTTGGCTAGTTATTTATTTCCCTATGCAGACACAGAACATATATTTATGTCCCTACACATGTGCATAAGTATGTGTCGTTATATTTAACGTGCTCCTGATCAGACATTGTCCCTTTACAGGCGACAGGCCTCCAAGCAGCTGACTCTAATATGGAGGACAACGAGTGTCGGAGACGAGTGTCCTACAAGAGGAAAAGCTCCACAGGTGAGCCTGAGAATCAACATCACTCCTGGGTAACACTTTGTAATAACTCTCATTAATACATGGTCAAATAATAACTAATTGACTTTAGTAAATAGCAGTTTTACTTTTTTAAATCAATTAAATAATACTTAAAGGTAAACAACAATGCTAAATCGTATTATATGTTCACTGTTTATGGTTGCACACAATATTATAAAATACATTTTATCATACATATTTTTTTTAAATACTTGCTCTTAGGCATAAACGCAGGTCAAATGATATAAAGTAAAATGTATTAATCCATGTTGTGTTTTACAATAAAATAACAGTAAAAGCAAGTTTACCTCTGTTAAGACTCCTATGCTGTGATTGTATCTGGGATGTCTTCCAACACATTTTAGGAATTAAACATGAAATCAGGTTTTATTGTAAGTTGGATAGGATGCGTTGGAACAATCATCGACATGACACTCAAGATGTTGATTTATGGTCCTGCTACAGGAGCCTGGTGTGGTTTGCACCTGAGTTAATGAAAGTAAACCCCGTGGACAGCTGTGCATAATGGCCCTGTGCTCTGTGGAGGCATTTCTCCAATCAGAAGCTGCAGATTCATCAACACATGAGTCCAGCTGCCTTCAGATGGCTGCAGGGATTTAATAACCTGAAGGAGTGTGAAGCAGCTGTGGACACATACTGTAAGAATCACTCATTTTAAAGTATAGATTCTAAAGAGGGAATTATGGCATTACAGCAGCAACAGTGCAGATTAAAGTGAAAAAAGTACACCAAGGTAAAAACTTAAGTAGCATTATTTATTTATTTTAAGTGAACGTACATCAATGTATTACCTTCAGTTAATGGTACACCATCAGTTTGGAGGAGGACAGGAAGTCAAATGATGTGTTTTGACAAAGGAGTCTGGTGGCTTTGGTCAGAGTTTTAGTTCCCTGTCATAAAGGGCTGTCTGACTGCAGGGTGAAGTGGTCAAATATTCTTTATACAGCATACTTTAAACCAAATATTTGTTTTCCTTTCCTTAGGATGTTTAAAATATGTTTTATGCTGCCCCCATTCACAGCAGTACACAGTGTTGCTTCCTGCTGGTACTCAATTCATACAATCCAACCTCAAAACATCTAACTATCTAATAACATTTGATAAACTTGAATATATTTATACATAGAATGTATTTATATATTTTCTAATGTGAAGTTTTGATTCTGAAGTCATGAATATTGAAAAGTATATGTGTTGTTGAAAGTTTGAACAATTAAATTCAGAGGCTAAAATACATAATTATTTGGTGCTGGAAATGAGATCACTTTACTTCCATACATGTTGTTTATAAGGCTCCTTATTTCAAAATGAACCCTGCTTTTTGAGCCCCTGTGTATTCTTCAGACGAGTTCTACTATAGATAACACAGCAGCGTCCCTGCACTTTTAAAGAACACAGTATCTGTAAAGCAGTTTGTGTACAGTGTGTTCGAGGTTAATTTGACTTGTAACTGCCTGGAGAATTGGGACGTGGAGACAGAGCCTCCACTCAGCAGTTTGGCTTCGATTCAGGAAAATCCAATTGGTCACCATGGTTACAGTCCGTCTGAATACAGTAGCACCATCTCCCAGATGGAGAATGTACCTAACAGTCCATTTCACAGTCCAGCAGCCTGCAGATCCATCCATCAGCTGTGAAGATGTCAGAGCATTATTCATTTACTGAGCATCATACTTGTAAACACACATTTAGAGCGGCAGGATTTATTCTAAGTAGTTTAATAGATCTGCGTTTAACATTGTTTGTCCTCAGTTCAACCCTGAAGCAGAACAATAGCTACCTGTTGTCGGAAGGTAATGAGACTAAAGTGCCCTCCCAGAGGAAGTCCCAGCAGAGTCACTGTTCCCCCAGCAGATTTCCTGATTATCAATTCTCCCCGTAGGCTCCCACAACAAGGAGCAAGGGAGGAAGATCTACGCCCCCCCAGCAGCCGGGGAGAGGAGAGAGTCCGCCGAGGAGAGGGAGGACGAGGAGGACGAGGAAGGCAGGGAGGAAGAGGAGGAGCAGAGGCCCTTGTGTTCTGGTGTACTGGGCTACCCGGTGGTTAGGGACCACAGCGCGGCCCTCGGGCTGAGTGCAGAAGCACAGGCTGCAGACAACACGCAGACCCAGGCGTATAAAGGTGATGATAAAAACATCCGCCGTATTTTCTTACTTTTATTTTTTACCCACAGGTTTATTTTGGGAGAAGGAAGCAGCTTAAAAAGTATTTGTACTTCCCTGTCATTCTAATACAATGTTTATCCCTCAACAAAAGTTCTATTTTCACCCAAACACACAAAAAGAAAGGATTTCCAGCAATTAATACAAAGGAGACCATTTTGAATCCATCTATTGTATTTTATTATACAGGGCAGGAAAAAATAAGGGCTCCAGGTGAACAGAGGGTGTTTCTCAATGTCGAGGAAGGCTCCTCCAGAGCCACTATTTCAAGGATACTACGTCATCGAATCCCACCGAAGGACTGTTCCATTGTCCAGGATCCTTGGAATTCTACCGAGGACTGAATCCTTCGTTGCGGGAAATTTCGAGGATGCACCAGTGTATCCTCCGCGGTCTTAAAATCCCCACAATGCTTTGCGCACGGACCAATTTCCAAAATCTTTGGTGGAAAATTTAAGGCGGGGCCTCTCATATGACGCACACCTGCACACTTGCTAGCCTGTCCCATTCCTCTCTGAAAGACCTGACTCGGAGGGACATGTCCTACCAAGGAAGCGTCCTCGACATTGAGAAACACCCAGAATCAGGAGGGGAAACCCAGTTACAGGAAGTAAAGACAGACATAACACAGGGGGTGAAGACAGAAGGTGTGAATTAGAGCAAATGCAGCTGAGCCAGAACAAATGGCTCAGAGACATAGAACATTGCCTAGAAAGCTATAGGTCGATAGTTCAATCCTTATGAGGCGCATCCTTTTTTTAAATATAAATATATATATAAATATAAATTCAAAACCACTATGAAAGAGAGTTGTGAGACATGGCAGGAGATTTGAGGTTGTGAGTTCAAGCCTTGTGAGGTGCAGTCATTTTTTAAGTCCAACAACCCAAAATGAAAAGACGGATACACGAAGAGAACAGATCCTCTCGCATTTGTGTTGGTGGCACAGTTGTTTGTTCTGTGCACTTAGGTAGCCCTCCAAAGTCAGGGTGTTAAAGGGTGTAAGTGCAGTGCAGTGGTGAGTCCACGGGGAAAGGTTGCATATTAAGCGAATCACTGTCTTGTTTAAACAGACGATGATTTTCTTGCTTGCTTGTCCTTTAAAGTTGTACTGCAGAATGGTAATTGGCTCAGAATTAAATTTAGAAAAAAATCCCGTTAGCCCCAGCAGAGGAATGTCACACCTATTAAAAATCCAAACAGGGATTATGAGTCATTATGGTGAAACCTAAAACCCACTCAGTAATAAAACATAAGAGGATTATATCCAGGGTCACGCCTTTTCATCGTAGGTCATGACCAAAGAAAGGATTTACAGGAGGTTAAATCATGATGTTGGCACAACTGTGTGGTCAGATTGTAATCTTTTTAAGGAAATCTGAGAGATAACTGGTTATTATTTATTCAGATGAAAATGAAACACAGCAGTAGGGATGAAAGCCTCCTGTCGATTTCAGCGTTTACTGCAGGCTTCTCTGAGCGGCCCTCACAAAGAGCTGCATCTGGGAGGGAGATCCCCGACAAGCTTTGCGAGAAATCCCCACTCTCACCCACTGTCTGCTGCTTCTTGTCGAGCTAACGCACACGTCTGCGTTTCCACAGTCTGACTTATTTACAGTATGGCAAACAAGTCCATTTATCACTGTATATTTAAGAATATACTACATTATTTCAGACATACTATACTCTGACATTTTTTGCACCTGTTCTTTGTTTCACAAGCTGTACAAAACGACAGCTTAACACCTCGTTGATTTCTTGAAGTCCAACATCCAACCTTGACGAATTAGTTTAAAATGAGACTGAAAAAATATCTTAAGTCACATAGCTCAAAGTGATATGATAAAGGACTGAAGACAAGAGGACCCAAGTTCAATCCTTATTACTCCTCCCAAACGATAGAAGGCTTCACAGCTCGAATAGCTCTGAGTGATAGACAACTGTTCACCAACTCCAAAGTCTTAGGTTCGATCCTCGTGAGGTGCAGTGATTTTTGAAAGCCAACACCCAAAGTGAAGAATTAGATTATAAAATGAAATGGAGAAGAGCCAGAACAAATGGCTCAGAGAGATACAACATTGCCCCGAAAGCTGTTGGTTGTTAGTTCGATCCTTGTGAGGGGCATTTCTTAAAGTCCATCAATCCAAATACACATTTTAAAGTGCTTTACTCCAAATGAAGAAGATAAATGCGCCCGGAGAACAGATCTTCATGTACGTGAGTTGGTGGCTGATTGGGTTAGGGTTAGGGTTAGGGTTAGGGTTAGGGTTAGGGTGCATGGATTTTCTGGAGTCCAAGACCCAAAGTGTAGAATTATATTACTAAACGCAACACATTTGGGCCAGTGCAAATGGCTGACTGGGATAAAACACTGCCTTGAAGACTGGAGGTTCTTGGTTCAATCTTCTTTATTTGCACTGGTTTTCAGGTAAAACATCCAAAATGGTGTGAAAAAAGCAGAGAAGAGTTTTTCATTTTAAAATGTTGGTGGCACAATTGTATGACATACATCCTCATGAGGTACATTCATTTTCTAAGTCTAACCATCCAAAGTAGAGAATGAATTTACCAAATGAGATGTAACAGTCACTGGTCAAGTGGCTCAGAGGGATAGAGCACAGACTGTGAGACTGAAGGTTGTGGGTTTGAAGATTTTCAGGTGCAGTAATCTTTAGGGTCCAAAATCCCAAATGAACAGGCCATAAGCTCTACGAAACATTAATGCCTCAGGTCAGATGGCGCAGAGGGATAGGAGACAGGTTAGAAAGTATGAGGTTGTGTGTTTGAGTCCTCGTGAGCTACGGTGATTTTTAAAGTGCTTTACTCAAAATGAAGAAGATAGTTTTCAAGATTGTCATAGTAAGTGAGGCAGGTAGTGCACATATATTCACATTTTAAACTCCACTACGATTCCCCCTAACCCCAAACCCTTACCCCAACCCATTCGCCTAACCTTACCCCGGCCAATCAAAGTCTGCTCATATCCACTTTTCACAACAAAAAAAATAAATCAATTTTTGTTGTGCAGAAAGCATACTTTGAAAAATCTCACAAATGTCAAAATCACAAAACAACCTCCGAATGACACGTTGTTTGGCACCGTTGGATGCGGAATTGCGAAACATTGGGGGGTGTCTTGACATAGGGGGGGGGCGTAAAACCAGTCCCGAAGCCATCGGAGCTTCCTGTCAGGAGTTATTCAAGGAAAACCGATTTGCCTCAAACTCGGTGGGCACCTTCAGGGGGGCCTGAAGGCAAATCGGTTTTCCTTGAATAACTCTTGACAGGAAGCTCCGATGGCTTCGGGACTGGTTTTACGCCCCCCCCCTATGTGAATACACCCCCCCAATGTTTCGCAATTCCGCATCCAACGGTGCCAAACAACGTGTCATTCGGAGGTTGTTTTGTGATTTTGACATTTGTGAGATTTTTCAAAGTATGCTTTCTGCACAACAAAAATTGGGCAGAAGCCATACTTTGTCCGAATGACACGTTTTTGGCACTGGCAGATGCGGAATTGCAAAACACGGGGGGGAATCTCTTCTTTTGGGGGGGGGGGGGCGTAAAACCAGTCCCGAAGCAATCGGAGCTTCCTGTCAGGAGTTATTCAAGGAAAACCGATTTGCCTTCAGGCCCCCCTGAAGGTGCCCACCGAGTTTGAGGCAAATCGGTTTTCCTTGAATAACTCTTGACAGGAAGCTCCGATGGCTTCGGGACTGGTTTTACGCCCCCCCCCCCCAAAAGAAGAGACTCCCCCCCGTGTTTTGCAATTCCGCATCTGCCAGTGCCAAAAACGTGTCATTCGGACAAAGTATGGCTTCTGCCCAATTTTTGTTGTGCAGAAAGCATACTTTGAAAAATCTCACAAATGTCAAAATCACAAAACAACCTCCGAATGACACGTTGTTTGGCACCGTTGGATGCGGAATTGCGAAACATTGGGGGGTGTATTCACATAGGGGGGGGGCGTAAAACCAGTCCCGAAGCCATCGGAGCTTCCTGTCAAGAGTTATTCAAGGAAAACCGATTTGCCTTCAGGCCCCCCTGAAGGTGCCCACCGAGTTTGAGGCAAATCGGTTTTCCTTGAATAACTCTTGACAGGAAGCTCCGATGGCTTCGGGACTGGTTTTACGCCCCCCCCCCTATGTGAATACACCCCCCCAATGTTTCGCAATTCCGCATCCAACGGTGCCAAACAACGTGTCATTCGGAGGTTGTTTTGTGATTTTGACATTTGTGAGATTTTTCAAAGTATGCTTTCTGCACAACAAAAATTGATTTATTTTTTTTGTTGTGAAAAGTGGATATGAGCAGACTTTGATTGGCCGGGGTAAGGTTAGGCGAATGGGTTGGGCTAAGGGGTTGGGGTTAGGGGGAATCGTAGTGGAGTTTAAAATGTGAATATATGTGCACTACCTGCCTCACTTACTATGAACTACCTGCCTCATCTACTATGCCTAACTCAGCTACTCCGAGTCTCGAACCCCGTACATGCTAAGCAGCAGACCTGAACTCGACACGGGCGCCTTAATGCCAAGAACAGACCCAATCCGGCCACCAACACATGTACATGAAGACCTGTGCTCCGGGCGCATTTATCTTCTTCATTTTGAGTAAAGCACTTTAAAAATCACCGTAGCTCACAAGGACTCGAACACACAACCTCATACTTTCTAACCTGTCTCCTATCCTTCTGCGCCACCTGTCCTGAGGCATTAATGTTTCGTAGAGCTTATGGCCTGTTCATTTGGGATTTTGGACCTTAAAGATTACTGCACCTGAAAATCTTCAAACCCACAACCTTCAGTCTCACAGTCTGTGCTCTATCCCTCTGAGCCACTTGACCAGTGACTGTTACATCTCATTTGGTAAATTCATTCTCTACTTTGGATGGTTAGACTTAGAAAATGCATGGACCTCATGAGGATCAAACCCAAGACTCCTGCTCACCTGAGCAGCTTTGTATCCCACTGAGCTATTTCATTTGTGAAAGTCTTAGGTTGTTTGGTAGATTATGTCACAATGAAAATGTAAAAAAGGAAATAGAACAAGCTATTGTGCAGTGCATCCAATAAAACTATCCTTGTAAGTATGTCATACAATTGTGCAACCAACATTTTAAAATGAAAAACTCTTCTCTAGGCTTTTTTCACACCATTTTGGATGTTTTACCTGAAAACCAGTGCAAATAAAGAAGATTGAACCCACAACCTCCAGTCTTCAAGGCAGTGTTTTATCCCAGTGAGCCATTTGACCTGGGACAACATTTTTTGTTCGGTAATCTAATTCTGCACTATGGGTGTTAAACTTCCAAAAATCTATGCACCTCATGGGGATCAAACCCAAAACCTCAGCTCAACCTGGCAAGGCTGTGGTTTATTCCTGTGAGCATAAATAATCCTTACAACTGTGGATAAACCATGGATGTATAAAGATAAGGGCTAAACAGTAAAGCTCCTGCATTCGAATCAGCGCGGTTAGCCAGGCGTTAGAATAGCCCTCTGCCAGAAATGATCACACACTCCTGTAACCAATCCTGCTTCAGACTGAGGTTAGGACCGCCCACCTCATTAGCATACGGACACATAAATAAATAAATGTATGTATGTCGAGTGAATGTAGAAATATATGAAAGATATACAATAACGTGTGTTCTGTTTTATTTATTTATACATTGGTGTATTTATTTCCATATTTATTTATTCTTTTATTTATTTATTTGTGTATTTATTTCAACATTTATTTATTTCTGTATTTATTCCTGTATTTATTTACACATTTATTTAATTATTTATTTATACTTAAGTCATGTTCCGTCCTCCATACACACACACACACACATTAAAAACTGGCAGGACACTGGATTATAGAATTTATTGTCTCTTGTATATTATTGCATTTAAACAACTTAAAAAAATGACATCAACACATCTGGATTCCTTGGCCAAAAGAGGTGTAGTATGTGGAAAATATATATGTATATCTTTTTGCAATAAAATCCTCACTTGTGCAAACACACAGAGCAACTTCCAATCAGTGTGATTCTACACTGAGATGGGGAAAGTGATTTCATATCCATATTTCATAAATCAGCTATTGCAGCTGTAAGAGGATTTCTGCCAGAGCAAAGCTCAGAGGGATATTGATTTGTATAAACAGCATGGAGGGAACAACACACAGGAAATGCCAATTGTGTCTGAAAAGGAGGCCAAAACCCCACTGAGGCTGTGACTGTCAGCCAGGGTCAGATGTGTGTTCTCCTCTGTAGGATGTGAGGATCCAGGAGGCGCTTAGTGAAGCTAATGATGATAGGGCACCACACAGGAAGATGCTTCCCCTGAGGCAATGCTCTAATAACACATTCCCCCCGTGTGTGTGTGTGTGTGTGTCTGTGTGTGTGTGTTTGCAAACATGTCTCTCCCCCAGAGCTCCACACAGAGGAGTGGGTGCGTCAGCGTCCCGTCGAGGAGTCCGCCCCGTGTCGGGAGGTAGCAGCGGGGGAGGAGGACAGCGACACAGACCTCACCTACGGAGAGGTGGAGCAACGGCTGGACCTGCTGCAGCAGCACCTCAACAGGTGGGGGGCGGGGGGGGGGCCGCATGTTGTTGGTGGAAAACACAATACCTCCACTTCACAAGAAAACACCCAAGGACACACAGCATCAGGCCTTTTTTATATAACGCCTCTATGGATATTTTCTTTAATCATATCATATCAGGATACACACATAACTATCAACAAACACTTTAATTATGACATCTCTATCGCACCAACAAATACACAGAGTGTGTGAGTGGGGGCACACTGTCTATGCAGACACATTGCATAGACAGTGGACGTCCTCATGTGAGGAGGGGTGGAGGAGTTGCACAGTTTGGGGAGATGATGTTCACTGATGGAGGGAACATGGCTCAGAGAGTTCCCCCACCAGTCACACTCGGTGCACTGCATCACAGTACAGCTCTAAAGAGCAAACAGGCTTCCCCCACTCTCCCTCTCCATCCTGTGTTTGCTGCTGTAAAAAGGAATGTGTGGAGGAAAGGTGATTCACCCCCTCAGAGACGCCATGATGTAACTCTGGGTGATGAAACGGTGCAGGTGCTCCATTTCCTGGTACCTGCAAAACAGAACACAAACTTCACTTTACTGTCGTATCCTCGTCTGTTTTGTTGCTGCAGTAACTTATATTTAAGTTATTTTTCCTTTGATAAAATACTTGCAGTTATTCAACTTGTAATAATGTATGTTACTCAAGTAAAGGGTGTGAATACTTCAGACTCATGCTAGTATAATCCTCCATACTAACCCCCATGTGAGGCTGAGTCTCCCTCTAGTGTTTAGTATCAGTATTGACCACCACCACCACCTCCATCCCATAGTAGCAAAGACATACAGTATGTACATTTGACATTGTCACATTTTTCCAATATGATGAAAAACCTGATGATGTATATTAAATATTCTTTAGTCCTCACCATGCATGTTGATTCTGAGTGATGTCACACTGCTCCTTTACATAACTGCATGGTGCATTAAACACTTCCTGTATTTATGTGAGTGATACATCCTCCATATGTGATGAACCACATACCTTTGTGTGATTTGATTCCATGTGTTCCTGTCAGACTGGAGTCCCAGATGACCTCAGACATCCAGGCCATCCTGCACCTCCTCCAGAGGCAGACCACGTCCGGGCCCCCCGCCTACAGCACCGTCACCTCCAGCCCGGAGTACCAGAGGCCGGCCATCAGGGTGCAGCCGGTGTCGGCCCTGCAGGCGGAGTTCAGCCTGGACCCTGCTCCGCCCCGGCCTCAGGTAATAAACCACAGATTCAAGACATTAAGGAAAAAAACGCATATATTGCAAATATTGAAAGCCTGTAAGGGCATTGGTTTGAACAGTGTGCTCACTCTGATCCGTCTTCACGCTGTGTTTCTCCTCCAGAGCCCGGAGAAGACCCCGAACAGATCCACAGACGGCTCCCCGGTGCTCCTGCGACCCGACGCTCTTCCAGACGGGGGCGTGGCCTCCCTGCTGGAGACAGACTGGGTCTCGGAGCAGAGACACACACAGGACAGCTCTGTGGAGCCCCCCCCCCACCAGAGGCTGCCGTCAGGCCGACAAGCCTCCCTGCCTGAAGTGGGCTCAGCACCGTCAGCACTGCAGCGGCCTGTGTCTGACCCGGGGCTCCCAGGAAACTAGCCCCCCCCCCCCCCCCCCCCCCCCCCCTGCACCTCTCCTCTCAAGCTTGTCTCAGGGTCTAAGAAAGAGACTGTATATGCAAAGGCAACTGTAGACTTTCTTCCATTACTTTTACGGACTCTCTCCCCCGCCCCTCTCTGATTTAAATGTATAAAGACAATTTATACAGAGGTATTTATACACTATATTATTACCACGTGTAAAGTCATCATCCACCGTGTACATACTTTATAGAACACTGCCAGCAACACGAGGCACCTGATGTGCTTTTTCTAAAACAGATATGCATGTTTTACGTCCTGACGGTTGCTTTTCTTCCTGTGGCATGTTCCTCACTCTGACTCCCTCCAGGACCTCTGTAGCTGTCACCTCTTTTCTAACGCTCCTCCCCCCCCCCCAGGGAATCAGCTACATGAAAATCTTCCCGAGGCATTTCCACAGGCTCTGATCTTTCTATCAGCAGCTCCAAAACGTCCACGCAGAGATCTGCCGCTATATTTAGCATGCCTGATTCCACCACAACGCTGAGAATACACAGCGCAGTGTGTGAGGCTGCGCAGACATCCCACAACCACACACACATGTCAGTCTTTGAGATCAATAACGATCTCATATCTCTAGAGACGAATCCGCTCTGGAGATCATTTCACACGTGAACAAAGTAAAGAGCCTCTTTCAGCTGCAGTTATGTTCCTTCACATGTTTCAGACAACATATTGAATGCTTGAATTATTAGATTTAAAAACACATATTTACCATATAACCACCTGAATCCTATCAATATAACAGAAGCATGGCTGTGGGGGGTTTGCAGTTCACTCTGGACTTGTAAGGGTCAGCGGTCTGCGGGTGTTTCTTTACATTACTATTAGGGCCATTGTAGCTGGAAATGAATGAATTTGAAAGATATGAATCTGGAGAACAGGGGGTAAACCTTCACTTTGCAAAGCTGTGGTGTGCAATGTGAAGTTGTTTTCAGTGAAGTAGGGACTTAAATCTGTTAGAAAATATTTAAACTTTCTTGCAAATTATTAAGAGAAAATATTTGATATTTGTAAGTGTTCTCTTGTTAATGAACCACTTAAAACTCAGAGAATATCCATGTGTTTTCTCTATAATGTTCTTTATTTTTGACCCAAAGACACCCTAATACACTGTCATTTCTCCTTCATATGCTAACCGACAGGAAGTGACATCTTGAATCTCCTTCACACCCTGAGTGAACTCTGACGATCCCACGTGATAGTTTTCAGTTGCATGCTTTAGGTCTTCCATTGTCTTCTTAAAAAGTACAATTTCCTAGATAAAAACCAGGAGAAAAGGACAAAAAAAAGAGAAAATAGTTGTCCATGTTTTCGGGCCGCCTTCACTAGCCTTAGCTTTAAACGCCTGCTCTAGCCTTGACACACGACGGCGACCCGGTGCAACAGCGCCACATTTAAAGGAACCACGTTAGGGTGCATGAGGAAAATGAATTAGTCATTTCCTAACCACACACTCTCACACAAGCTCATGTATTGCATGGAGACTGCACTCAATTATAACAAGGTCTCAAACTGTTTATGACATTTGGAAGGAGATTTAGAAATAACGCTTCGACCTATTTTTCTAAAACAAAGTTTCATTTGCCATTATTTTTCTATGACCTTATTGTTTCCCCCGAGATGTTGAGGGGAAGGCTTTGGAGTGCAGAAGGGAAGAAGATGAATGCAATGTACAGCCTCTCAATGTAGCAAGCAACACTTCAGTGACGGGCTTTAGGCTGCATGAAACATTCATATTGCACATCATATCATTTCTACTTCTTCAACCCAACTCTTTACTTTGTTAAAACCCGGGGAAACCTTATTTAGGAAAAGAGAAACCACACGGATGCTCCAGCAGGGTGTCCTCCATCTTTCTTTCTCGAGCACAGATGTAGAACAAAGGTTGCTGACGCCGATAGACTCCACGCGTCCTGAACACTTTTCCATGGGATTTGCTAACTTTTGCACAGATTAGAAAACTTGCTGTACTGGATAACAATGTCCCTTTTGAAATACTTAGTGCTGTTCACAATTGTTTTTATGCATTTTTTTAAATGTTTGCCACTGTATTTTATACAATGCAACACTTAACAGCTCATTTGAATGTTTCTGTTCTTAACTATATTTAAATAAATGAAATATCATGTAAATAGACTGGGAAAAAAATGCGCAATTGTATAAATGAATAAACAGAATGCATACTGATTAGAAAGTGTTTATTGTGGGTAACAAAATATGATCTGAACTATGGCATTAGGAGTGTGCAGGGCATCTTTAAAAAGTACAACCAGCTGTGTTTGTAGGGAAACATTCAAAACAAAGTGTGAAGCTGCACTAATCTCAGGCTTTATCTCACTAGCATTATAACAGTTATCACAGTCACTTTGGCTCGTTATCAACTTTCACATCAAGCTAATCTAAACTTATATAAAAAAACAGAAATAAAAAATATGGCAAGAAAGGAGAAAGCTCTAATAAAACCATAACCATATCAAGTTCAGTGTAAAGGCATATGAACATGTTTTGTGTAAATGCTGCTAATATTTCATCATTAATCATGATGCTGCCTGACAAGGCTCTCTAGAAGCGAGTTTCATATATTAGCGTACATTCAGATTATAATGGCACATTAGGTGTCTCACAGGTCGACACATCCAGCATCACTCTGGCATCCAATCGAAGATTTTTTTAAATGAGTTATAAATTATTCTAATTCCCTCTAATGTGAATACATACTGGCTTTATATAGATTTATATATGCGCCTGATTCAGCACGTCCCTGTGTGACTTACAAGACTAAACAGCAAGCGTTACAAGCATGAGTACTTTCCTGTTGCAGCTCAGTCAAAAATACTGGCCTCCCTTTGCATTCCCATGAGGCAGTGATCCAGACTCCTCCTCTGATTGGTCGGTGCCGCCTTAGATGCCCATCGTGCACAGGATGAACTGGTGACAGAAAGAAAGAGAGATGGAATTAACCTCAGCACCTCAACAGGATATGGTGTTTGAAGCTGCTCTGAGCCGTTTCATATGCAGGTAAGCGGCAGCTACATGGAACTAAAGAATAAAGGTCAGGTGGAGCCAAATTCAATTCTTCAATCAGTAGGCAGCAGGCTATGAGTTGAAACATCTGGACTTAAGCTATGTGATGCAGTGATATCTCCACAGGACACAGGACTCACGTCATCGTACTGGAAGGAGACGGCTTCATGCTGCATGGTGTCTTTCCTTTTGAAGTTCTCTGCACCAGGAACAGGAAACATCAGCGTCAATAAACACATTTCACGCTCAGTCCACATTAAACATCTGGACAGCAGTGTGTTCAGTGGAACGTGTCACATCATCTCTAGATGTGTGTACCTGTGAGAGCATGCAGTTTGATGCAGCAGGCCACGTAGTCGTCGAAGTAGATCCTCCCTCCTTTGTTGTAGCGCTTGATGATCACATTCTGAGCCTGAGGGCTGAGAATGAACCCTGAGGAACACAGAAGAAGATTAATATCAGGCCTAAAAACGCAGAATCCAAGTGCATTTTGTCTGGGCTTTTAAGTCATTTTTTTCTTCATTAAGTGTCATACACCTCTCCCAATAAACCTCCCTCATGCTTCAGCCTCACCCATAGCGTTGATGACCAGCGCCATCTTCTGCGGCTCCACAGTGCCGCTCCTGTCCCGGTCGAACATCACAAATGTCTGCTTCCAGAGGTTCAGAGCCGCGAACAGGTCCTTGAACTCGTTCAAGCCCATCTTCCTCGTGGAGTCCCGCTGCACACACTCGGGTTAAGATTCATAACTGCTGACCCACAGGTATAGAAACAGCTGGTTAACCCGGTTCAAGGACAAACACCACGCCTACTGTACATATACTTCCATGGTGAGTGTGAGTGGACAATAGGAGCACCTGAGGGACTCATTGGTATTAAAGTTAGGATACATCCATCATTGCAGTCTCCAGGTTGAATGCTGTAAAGAGAAAATAAAGGGGAAAATTAGTAAATCTAGGTTTAAAGTCCATGTTTTCACACTTAACTTTAGTGCTAATTAATCCATCTGCTGACGGCGAAATCTGTTTTCCCTGATTAATGAATCAGTCATATGCTGTTAAAAAGGCTGTGCTTGTATTCAACTCTGTGTACTTTCTCAATCTCACAGTAATATCCATTACAGTCTTTAACTGTTAGTCTTTATTCATGAAAGGCAGTATAATAATATTGCTAATAATATTTTCTTGGTGAGCTCTTATGCCACCAAAAAACACAAATATTGAACTCAGATACTCTTCACTTTACGTCATGTATGTAATCTGCAACTTATACTCACATATTTCGTGAACTACCACTTCCTTCTCCTTTATACTAATGAATATTCATTTTTCACATGCACTGAAAGAGACTGTCAGCTGTCAACCAATCACAGAGGAGATAATAGTGGTTTGACACTTCCCCTCCAGAGAAATACATCACTTGATATAAAGACCTATTAGGCATTTTGTTAGTGTTTTAAAGCCCTCTAAGTTTGCGAGTACGGCCTCTGCTCATTTGTTAAATGCATGATGTAAAACAACTAAGAACTCATATTGTCTGAGGCAGTCTCTCTTGTGGAAGGAGTCGTGGACTTACGAGAGTAGGATCCGGTGAATCCACCCTGGGTGAGACACCTCTGCAGCTCGTCTGCATCCACCTCTCCGTCCTGAACACAGCAGGGGTTGGGGGGGGGGACAAATTATAGTTTTACTTTTATGTAGGCATTTTAAATATTGCAGTCTTCCAAAGGACCACTTTAGATAAGGTAGTGTAGTGAGTCATTCATTACTGAAAGAGAGTGAAATCAAGTTCAAACAGAGCCCTGCTTCCTCTTAACTTCATAGTAACTGAACCGATTCATGAAACCTGATATGTCTGCAGAGAATGTCCTCTTTGTGACCACACTTCAATATGAAAGTGAAAGCTAGCCTTTGGTAAAACTCTGCCTTTTATA